AGACAGGTTGCAAAACTTAAATGGAACTTCGCAGGTCACAGTCTCCGGCAAAAAGATGAAAGATGGAATAAGCGAATTCTGCACTGGAGACCATGGGAAAAGAAAGAAAAAGAGGAAGACGGAGACTGACGATCTTAAGAGAACGGCAGGAAAGGACTTTATGCAGATCGCCCAAAATAGAGACCAATGGAGATTAACAGGGGAGGCCTATGCCCAAGAGTGGGCGTTTAAGGCTGATTAGATAGATAGATAGATAGATAGGTAGATGGTCTTAACATCCGAGAAAAATTCCTTTCCTACCAGTTATACTTCTGAAGTTAGCAGGCAATGAACTTTCTGATGAGTACTTTGACGTCCAAGAAGTAACACCTCTAAAATATCGCAGGCAGCAAACTGCACGACCAAGCAAGCTGAATCTAAAAATCGTTCCCAAAAACTGGCATATCTGTCAACATTCACTGGAACCATTCCCTCAGCAGAACAATAATTGCAACTTACTCTCCAGTCTCTACTCCCGCAGGAACAAAAAGAACAACCATCCCTTGAAGAGGCAATAGCCTCGTAACTATTTCGATTTAACTACAGAAGGATGATGTATACAGACGAGCGAAAAGGAGAGCACTTTGTTGACAAATATATTCATTAAAAGTATTCTCTGGTAAATACCTGGGGGCTATCGTAAAACACACTTATAGAAACCTTCCTTATATTGGATCTTGTAGGTGTTTCCTCAATATCAGGCGGATGTATTATTCTGTACAAGAAAATTATATAACTTGGCACAAACTTGAAAAAGAGTAAAATATTAGTTTTATCAAGTATACTTTTTGCCATGAATAAGTATTTTCTACTGAGATTACCAAGTGAAATAAAAATTTAAAGTATATTATGTAAATAGAGAAATAAAAATTAACGAAAAAGATTGCTGCAGTCAGGTGAACTGTATTTCTTTTTTTTTATTTTCTTTGTATTATTCTTGCTCGTTATTGACTGCTCTACAATTTTTTATATAAATTATATAATTTATATTATCTTATTTATAAGTTTTTGCTGTTCTGCTGTGCAGAAGAGAAGTGGCAATATGTAGTTATTAGCAAACTATCCCCAGAATATACTCCTATTCAAGTGGTCCACTTTATTAAAGAGAAGTTAGGGTTAAAGGGAGTTTATTAGATGTTATGCCCTGCTGAAAAGACAAGGTCCTTCTAATGGTTCATCATTCAAAATAGGTATGAAGTCTAAATCCTCCATTAAGTTACTATTTAATAAGGAAATTTGGCCACCTAACGTTCACATTAAATGGTCTATTGAATCTCCAACTTCTGAACCACGGTATTTAGAGTCAACACCAGAATTAAAGAACAAATCCATGGAGAATACTAGAAACCCCGTTAGCCAAGAAAATTCATTAACCATTTTGAATGATAACAAAAAATACAGGGGAAAAGATAAATGTAGTCTCAGATAAACATGCAATTGAAATTTGCAAATCAAAACCGAATCCTTATTCTCACATTAATTTTGTAAAAGAAAATATTGGACCTACTGTAAATCTGGACCCTTTGACCCCACCGAAGGTTAGATTAACCATGAACACGGACCCTTCCAACAATCGATATCTTCTAGCAAGATTAAGAGAACCAGAGATATTAAAAGCCATCAAACTGTATCTTGCCTTTCTGTACGACCAACCTGCTTCGGTTTGTTATGGTGGTTTTACGAAAACAAGCATCAAACTATTCTTGGCTTCTAAGGGACTTTCCATGACTACAGAAGATCTGCAAAAAATTTATTTGAAATTTCATGATGCTTATGGAATTGGTCCAGCTGAGGTAGACGAAGATCTAGCTGCGTTTAGGTCCTTTATCGCTGCTGAAAGAATTATCCATCTGCAAAGATCAAGGGAATGTCATCAAGATTACTTTTAAACCGCTTCTCGAAGACGAAATTTTTAAATGTTTCGACGTGTTTTGAGGGTCTAGAATCCTCAAATTTAACTGCTAGCAGCTTTGACATGGTTCTTATTAATATTAGACGAATTATTTTTGTTTCTGGAAGAATTAGGGTTTCAAGTTCAGCTCATGGTGGCACTCTGATTCTTTCAAATAACAATGATTTTTCTTCAGTTTCGAAATATGACTATTTGCTGGGTGAAAACTACTTCGAATTTTCTTTGATTTATAATAAGAAATTTAATCTATACATTATTTGCATTTATAGATCACCTAGCTCTGATACTGAACTATTTTTTCAGAGCCTGCTAAATTTGTTAGATATTCTGCCCATTAAAAGCAGAAAAATTTTATGTGGTGATTTTAATATTGACTACGCTGCTGTTTGTGCGACCCAACTGTCTTTGGTAACTATTTTTGAATGATATGGTTTCACAATGCACGTTAATTCTCCAACAAGAATCTCAAAAACATCATCCTCGACAATTGATTATGTGGTTTCCGATTTTCCACCTGCTGACGTCCATTCTACAGTTATTAGTGGGGGGCTTTCTGATCATGAAGCGGTATATACCAAGTTTAGCAGTTTACAAACACCTCACTCAAAAACCCGACGATTAGGTAGGATTTTTTCCACTCAAAACCTTCGTAAATTCTATAATTCATGCTTGACTTCTGACTGGAGTTTTTCTTCTGGGGACATTGACTGTAATGTTAGTGATTTTCTAAATAGACTTGTATCTATTTTTAATAAAGCATTTCCTCTATTAAACATCAGGCCAAAACATAACAAACCTTGGATTACCAAAGGTATTCGCATATCTGCGAAAAATATGCGTTCTCTGCTATATATTAAAAAATTTAATTACAGTATCCCCATCTCTGATTATATCAATAAGTACAGAAAATGCTATATAAAACTACTCAAAGTAGCCAAAAAATCTTACTTTCATAATCGCTTAACAAGCTCCAAAAATATTTCAAAAGAAACTTGGTCAATAATAAACGATTTTCGAAATAAAACCAGTACAGCGAATCAAACCATTTCTTTTCCTAACCCCGAAAATCTAAATGATTACTTTGTTAATGTGAGTAAAAATATAACCTCAACTATTTCGCCACAACAAGATCCAGTTTCCTATCTCTCTAATTCAAAAAACATTGCTGATACCTTCTTTTTAAGACCAGTTGATAAGACGGAACTCATTTCAACAATTCGTAGTATAAAAAGCTTATCGTCCTGTAGTACAGATGGATTTATCTATTAAAATTTTCTCAAATCTACCGCATAATGTTTTGGAGGTCATGGTCTCGCTAGTAAATGATTCCCTTGAAAAAGGTTACATTCCCTAACTGCCTAAAGACTGCCATCCTCATTCCTCTTCATAAAGGTGAAGAAAAATCTGATGCCTGCAACTATAGACCTATTGCCTTGTTACCAGCACTATCAAAAATTATGAAAGACTTATAAAAGTTCGACTTATGCCCTTTCTCCTTAAATATAATATTTTATCGCAAAATCAGTTCGGCTTTTTGTCTAATAAATGAACTAGTGATGCCATATTTTCTGTGTTACATGATGTATATCTATCACTAAACAGTAACCTCTCCTCCGCCACCGTTTTCTGCGACTATTCCAAAGCTTTGACTGCGTAAATCACGACATTCTATTAAAAAAATTAACTTTCTACGGAATTCGGGGTGTGTCTTTGAACTGGTTCAAAACTTACTTGGTAGGTAGGAAACAATTGGTTAGAATAAATGACACCGACTCTAGTTGTAAAGATATTGAGTGTGGAGTACCGCAAGGTTCAGTATTAGGTCCATTCTTTTTTTACTTTTCATTAATGACATCACTTACTTGAAAATTAAAGGGAAACTTTTTCTATTTGCTGATGATACCAGTATTACCTGGAGCAGCTCTGATATTTCAACGCTTCATTCAATTATAACCGCTGATTTACTTATAATCAAGGCTTGGTCAGACTCCAACTTACTTTGCTTTAACGTGGATAAGACTGTAGCATTATCTTATAAAGCAACCCTTGCTTTTGAATGAGAGCCAAATCAATATCGTAAATTCCGTGAAATTTCTAGGTATTCTCATTGACAGTGATCTCAAATGGTCCTTGCATACTGACTCCTTAAGGAAAAAACTAGCCTCAGCTTGCTTTGCAATAAGATCTGTTTCGAAGGAATTAAATTTATCTTCTGCCAAAATGGCATATTTCTCATTGTTCGAGTCCCATCTTCGATATGGGCTTCCATTTTGGGGTTCTAGTACAGCGGCCCAATTTGATAATATTTTTAAGTTGCAAAAAAGAGCAATCCGTACTTCAAAAATCACGGAATTTTGACGCTTCCCTCTTTATTTATTTTGGAAACGGTTTGTTTGATTCGAAAGCATCTAAACATTTTTCCCGATAGACCTGACCATGGCTACTCCATTAGAAATTCGGATTGTAACGTTTATTTGCCGATCCCGTCCACTCAGCTAGTAAAGAATTCTATTCTATATCGTGCAAAGAAACTTTATAATCACCTTCAAGAGAAATTAAATCCGCAACATCCTACATTAAGTTTCGTAAGGTGACAAAAATCTATCTCTCAGAAAAACCATATTATTCAGTTGACGAGTTTCTTAATGTATAACAAAGAAACAAAATTAGTATTGTTTATAATTACATTTGAGTGTCTCAAGCAGTGGCTACAATTTGTCTCATTTGTTGTTGTCTGTACAAATTATGTAGGTTATACAATAATTTTACTAATTTAAAATTGTGTTATTCTGTTTTTTACTATATTTGTTTTTGTTTTATACTTTTTGTACTATTTGACTGATTTATTTTTTAGCTTTGTCCATAAAATTGTTCTATAATTTTCAGTGACAATAGAGCATAATTCTATTCTATTCTTTTGTTCAAATAACGGTCTGACTCGCATTCTCCCCTCGCGTGCTCTTTATTATTTTATTCGTGTGCGTTAATTTTAATACATGTATACATTTCGGATTCTTTTATCTTCGTTAACTCATCTGCATTTTCACAGGTTCTTGGTTTTGTGCTCCTACCAGCCAGAAACGTTGACGGTGCGGGCTGGCATCAACCTTCCGAACGCCGCCGTCTCGTCGTACCACCAGCAGCAAACAGGCGGCGGCGGCGCGCGGGGGCAGGCTCACGTCGAAGCCCAGTACGAAGAAGGAGACAACACTTTAGGAAGAAGATCGAGGACCGGTCGAGTGATGCAAAAACCAGAAGCGTTAGGTAAGATTTGCTGAATGAACATTTATCCGATTGGAAGTTGGTACGAAGTGGTGGTATTTTATTTCCTTGAACGCGATATAGAGGAAGTAAACAATGGTGGGACACTATAAAGGGATTATCCGGTTTAAAAATATAATATTCATATCGTGTCTATAAACAGAAAAACAGGGGAACCGGTTTATTTTACTAGTATTGTTGATGAAAATAAACTAATTATTTATGAATTTATTTGTCTGCAGGTAGATGTTCTCCAAAGTTGTCCCGTTCTAAAACGTGTTTAAGGCCATTCCTCGCGATTCTGGGCATAACTAAATTCCAATGTAAAAGTTTATATCAAATAACGCAAAAACTATGGCAGATATTGAGATGATTCTTTTTTTATATGAAAGGTCTTAAAAAGTTCTAGTGCACTATTTGATTGTAAATTAATAAATTGTTTAAACAATATTTTTTTTTTAAATATTTTTGGTTAAAATAAACGTAAAATTTTTTTTTTTGAAATAGGGCACTACAGAATTTTACCCACTTTCCGAATCTGTTTTTATTTTTAACACAAAGTGTAAGACAAAGCAGCTATTTCATATAAACTATTTAAAAAATGTTAAATTGTGCTAAATGTACTCTCTCTTTCGGTCAGTACAAGCTGTCCTTGTTGATAGTTTGTAGACTCTCGCCGACGAGTAGGTAAGAAAGTTGGAGGGTCATAAATAATGTTGAATAACATTATTAGGGCTTATTTCGACTTTTGACTAGTTTTGACAAACCAGTGTGTTTTGTTGTTTTTAAAATGGGTAGTTCGCGAAGACGTTTATGCTCCGGACGAAAAAGTCGACGACGATTGAGGAAATTTTATATAAATAAGCAGTAAGTACCTATAATTTGATTTAAATTTTTATATGAATAGAAATATTTTCTGTTGAGTTGTGACATTTTCCTTCTAAATGCTTATACTGTTTTTATAATAATACTATTGTTTCAATATTTACTTATATAATTATAATTTATTATGTAGAAACAGAGTAGAATTTTGGTCAATCGGTCTGTACATTTTTTTGTATTTCAATCAGAATTATTATTTTCTTTTCTTCTTTACATGAGCTCAGAGTAATACCCAAATAGTTTGCAGTATTTGAATATGGAATTTGATTAATTATATTTATTGGACTATTTATTTTGAACGTTTTTGTTAGTAAAGTTTACATAATATATTTCGTCACTTGCTTGTCCAGTCATATTAGTCCAGAGTAATAAGGATTTTCTCGTGACAATCAATAATCCAGGTAGCTGACAACTATTTTAGTTATTGTAGACATATAAGAACAAAACCTACCTGTTTCCTGTCTAAAGTTCGGAGCCGTTTTTTAATGATTTAATGTAATGCAAGAAACGCGATTTTTTCCACTCATTAGAAAGCTAAATACTTGACATAAAATTACAAAATTTTATCTTTTAGAATATTGACAAAGCTTCAAAATGCTGATTTTTGTAAGTTGAAAAGTCAATTTGTTGCTTTACAAACTGCAAAATAAGTGACAATTGATATTCGTTAAAACTTTGAATACAACAACTTTACTTTAGAGTTCCAGCGAAGGTTGGGTATTGGGATACTTAACAAACCCTCAAAATTTGGAACCGATATATTAATCAGTTTAAAAGTTTTTGTATTTGTTTATCCCAGAGGTCTTTTTTTACAATAAATAAGACAGAAAATATTAAAGATAGGGTAATGCTGTGGGCGACAAATGAAAGCAAAAGATACTATCAATATGTATTAAAAAATGATAAAAAAATGATTTATCATAATCAAAAATCCTGATGCCAAATTTTTGAAATTATCTAGTTTATAAACATTTAGAACTATAAAAACATTGCCCTTAGAAGAAATCTTTTTTTTACATTCGAAAAGCTAGTATTTTCCCGAATTTTCAAATAAAAAAATTTGACCTAGGTTAATTTGGGTCAAAGTTAGCCATGTTTTTTTGTTTATTCACAATTTGATTATAATAATTAAGGAACCTCTTTGACGCCATGATAAAGAATGGGATTTGTATTTTTTGATAAAAAATTATTCGACGCTCATCACTGTAAGTTTTGTGTAAAATTTTTTTTCAACGGTCAAGTCAGTTTTTTTCTAAAATTTGTAGTTTCGTAGGTATTTCAAAAAACAACTAATTTCTTAGTTAAGTTGTTTAATAAAAATGAACTTTGATGGTACACAAGGCAAATATCGAACACAGTATTTAATTAAATCTTGCCCAAGTACTTTCGATCACAAGATCATCCTCAGGGGCATTTCGTCAATTGTGGCCTATCCAGCAGTAACAGAATGTCATAAATGTAAATTGGGACATAACAAATACACTAAACAAAGACAAACAAACACTTTAAAATTTAAAATTGGAGAAGCTACATTTTATATAGAAGCCGGAGACAGAATGATATATAAATTATCTATATAATGTACCTTCTATATAAAATGTAGCTTCTCCAATTTTAAATTTTAAAGTGTTTGTTTGTCTTTGTTTAGTGTATTTGTTATGTCCCAATTTACATTTATGACATTCTGTTACTGCTGGATAGGCCACAATTGATGAAATGCCCCTGAGGGTGATCTTGTGATCGAAAGTACTTGGGCAAGATTTGATTAAATACTGTGTTCAATATTTGCCTTGTGTACCATCAAAGTTCATTTATTCGAACATTCAACCTTATATTGATTTAATAAATATGAAGCACTTACTTTTGGAGAAGAACTTTTTGATATATGTTGTTTATTAAACATTTCTTAATGAAATTACAAAAAGTTCTATCTTGTTTGAAATTTTCCGTAAGCAAAAAACTATTGACTCTCTTAATAACAAAAGTGCTTTTTTGTAGGCATGGCCAAGTGGATTCTGGAATTCGAACAGAACAGTTTCAGATTCTTGAAAAATCAGGGCAAATGGAAATTTTGTAAGTAAAATATATTTTCGGCAGAGTTGGAGCATAAACATTTTATTTTTAGATCATCTTCTAAAATTTGTGGAAGAAGAATTATTGACGTCTGTCATTTTTCCAAAGCTCTGCTAAGTTTTCCACACTGTGGACTATTTTCTTGTGATGGTAGCACAGTAGACATGTTAAAAGAAACTAGAAAGGGATTGGAATCAACTTTTTAATTTCAATGTAATATCTGTAAATCGACTATGGAAGTTTCAACGGATGATCCACATTCGCAGCAGACTTCAATCAATACTGTCATAACGTGTATCTATGTTATATTCTAGTGACTTTTCTAGAATCTGCCCATGTGTTTGAATTTGATGTATAGTTCATTATGCAGCAGTAAATCAAACAATATCCTTTGTAAAATGTTTGTCTTTCAAACAATACATTGCCGAAGATTTTATACGCAGATGCTAACAGAGTAATGCCTCTATAGTTCTTACAATCCAGCTGATAGCCCTTTATGCAACGCATATTATTTCATTTAGCCACTCTTCTGGTACCAATTCATTCTGCCATATAAGTACTATTAGTTTATGGATTACTGCAAAAAGTTGATCATCACCTTTTCATACATTTCCCAGCAGATTTAATCGATTCCTGTGGCTTTATTTACTTTATGTTTTAAGACGGCATTTGACACTTCTATTATTGTTGGGTCTTCACTATGTAGTTGACAATGTAGATTTTGTTGATTGTCTATGTTGTAACCTCCTTCAATATCGTGTATATAATGTTATTATATAAATAGATATAACAATAAAACACTGAAAACTTTGTTTTCAAACTTCCACAAAATTTATTTTAAATATTATCACTACAGCTGTTTCGGCTGATTGCCTTTCTCAAGTGATCTATTTTGGCTTGGGTTTACAAATTTATAGTCTCTAATGAAATAGGTTGAGGAGGGGAGAACTGTTTGTCTCAAGTTGGTCATTCAGAATTATATCTGTGTTTTTTAATTTGTTGATTTCCATAGATTCTAACAAAGATAGCTTAAGGCCTTTATTTTGAATGTGAAGAATTTTAAATTTGTCATTAAAAGAATGATTATGATCTAGAAGGTGAAGTGCGTATGTCGAATCTGTTTTTCTATTCTTGAAAGCCCTTTTATGTTCTGCTATTCGTTTATCAAAGTTTCTACCAGTTTGACGATGTAAGTTTTTGGGCAGTCGCCACATTGGAGTTTGTATACACCACTATTTAAGTGTTTTTTATTTTGGCTCTTGTTATTTTTAATATATTTGCCTAGGTTGTTATTTGTTCGGAAAGCTGGTGTTATTCCTTTCTTTTTTATGTGTTTGGCAATTTTTGTTGTTATTTTGCCTGTATATGTAATCGAGCAGAAGGTACTGGGTTTTTTCTCTGGTGGTGGAAATACTAATTTCAGGGCTTTCTTGTGTAGTTTTTGATTTAACATTTTATTAATTGTTTGTTCGTTGTATCCGTTATTTACTGCTATTTGTTTAATTATATTTAATTCTGTCTCAAAGTTGTCTTTTGACATCGGAATTTCTGTTAATCTATGTAACATACTATGATAAGCTGCCAGTTTATGTTGTGTTGGATGGGATGACGAATTGTGTATAGTCGTGTCAGTATGGGTAGGTTTATGAAATATGGAGAAGTCATGTTTGTTTTGAAGTCTGCTAATTTTTAAATCTAAAAAATTTTATGGATTGATTTTGTTCTGTTTCTATTGTAAATTCAATATGACTATGAACTGAATTAATATATGATAAAAATTGGTCGAGTTGCCTGTTAGTTCCTGTGAAACATACCAGTACGTCGTCTACGTATCTCCACCAATATAAAAACTGTTTGAATACGGGATGTTTTGAAATCTTTGTCTCTAGATGATCCATAAAAATATCTGATAACAATGGGCTTAGAGGATTACCCATTATAAGTCCTGCACTGTTATTTGTATATATTTTATTATTAAATTCAAAGTAGTCCTGGTTTATGCAAACTTCAAGAAGATGTAAAATTTCAGATGTAATTATTGGATTTGT